TCATACAGCTGCACCAAACAGACAGTCAACTTCCCTGCAACAGCTTCCTGGGGCAGCGCAAGTGCAGCTGAAAAGCTAAGAAGCTGTAGCCACGCCAAACAGAGCCTAAATCGAACACTAAATAAGGAGAGGAGGTAAATGTGTTTGATTTAAATGAAATAGCTTAATACTACGTCCATGCGTATAATTATGCATTTTCAATCTAAATAAAATGAAAAATGACAAGCTGAATGCAAATCATTTGAAGCATTGGTGAGTATTCATGCTCTAAATTATAGTGATATTATTACTTCTAAATCTAATGCAAATCACTTGAAGCTTCTAAATCTAATGCAAATCACTTGAAGCTTCTAAATCTAATGCAAATCACTTGAAGCTTCTAAATCTAATGCAAATCACTTGAAGCTTCTAAATCTAATGCAAATCACTTGAAGCATTGGTGAATATTCATGTTCAAAATTACACTGATACTGTTACTCATAGATCTAATGCATAAATGATTTATGAGTTTTCTTATAGTCCAACTCTGTTACTCATAAATCTAGTCAATTGTTCTTGTAAGTTTTCTTATAGTCAAACTCTGTTATAAATAAATTGATTGTGTTGAAAAAAACAAGATGAATTGTTTTTTATTATTTACTTATCACATATACATTATATAAAATCAACTACACAACATGTGAAATGATATGTAAAATACCAATAAAATGAATTATATAGTTTTTTTTTGCATGCATCTGCTAGTTCACCCCCTAGGGTACTAGCTGTAGATACTAAGATACATGTGTATGTGAATTGAAAAAAAAAATAATATTGATTTATCGTAATTGATATTATTTTAGATAGCACTCTAATGGATGCAAATGATATCAATAAGATAATATATCATACTTTAGGATAGAATATTACGAATATCCTTAAATGATCATAACTAAATAATAAATTATTTTTACACTAAATTAAGATCCACGACTCACATATATGTTGATTTCTTTTCAATTACATTACTATATTTTAAGAATATGAGTATTTATTAATCTGTTTATCACTCATTATATTTTTAACTAACATTTTAGATTCAAGATATAAAATATAAAATGAGCAAATAAAAGATAGAGCATTTATATAAGACACAATCAACCCAATGAAAGATGATTTTATTCATAACTAATTACTTCTAGTTTGATCTAAATTTTATTCCGTTAGAGGTTTTTTCAATTTGTTTGAATAATTATTTCTTAGTGGAAGAAATTACAATTAGTTTAATTTAGCCATTTAATCATTTGTTATTGCCTTAGATTAGAAAATTTAAACCCCTAGGGTCGGGTCATGGCATTACAATGGCAATGACCTCAAAAGATATTTATTACATTTTAATAGCAAGATACAAAGGTTTACAAATTCATATGTACATGTATGCCTAAATTAAAATATGGAAACCCCTTAATTGTAAGAACTCCACCTTAACCCAAAAAAAATTGCATTCTCCATGGTGGAAAATTCAAGGCAGAAATAGCAAATTATAAGAAAAATGAAGTTTAATCGTAGCATAGAAGTGTCAAATTCACAGGACGGTCTTTGGCATGAAAAAAGAATGATAAAAAAAATTGCCTTTTTAAAGATGCGAAAGAGAAAAGGACGCTCATCAGATTTGCATAAAAAAAACAGATCATTTGATGCTATTATAAGAAGCTTGCAGCAATTTATTGAAGCATTGATGCCAATATAAGAAGCTTGCAACAGTCTATTAAATATAAGGAAGAATTGCATACAGACCACTCAATTCCTATGTATTTGCATGCCAAAGATAACCGTAATTTTTACATATATGCCACTTTACGTGTGCATGAAAAAGTGTATTTCACATTTTAAAAGTTAAAATAGTGATTTTTTATATAATATGAAAAATTTGGCTGGTAAAAAAGTAAAAAGTAAAATTCAGGTGTTAGATATGTAAATACATGGGAATTGAGTGTTTGTATGTTAATGTCCCTAAAGATAATGCAGCATAAGAAATCTCACGGTTGATTTCTTGAATTCATTCCCAATGCAAAGATAAGCCTGAGTTGCACTAGTTGTGCAGCATGAAGGCTCAAAACCATCAGTAAGAGCTGTGGAACTAGAATCTATTCTATGAGCACCAAATTCTGTTAAAAATGAGCTGAAGTCCAACATATCGTTCCAAGAAGAAGAGATTTTCCGGCCATGATGCAAATCCAGTGATAGGCAGTTAGACTTTTCGTTTACACCTAATAATTAATAAATATTCATCAGTCTTAAAAATTTATCAACATTAATTACTACTGTCACTGTAAAATGAATGAGAGAATCGGAAAAAAAAAGCTCTTCTAGTAGAAAACAGTCAAAATAAGAAAGTCAGTTGAAAGAATCAGGAGCACATTATTTTTTCAATCAAAAGGGGGATGCAATTCTAGTAAGGTAATCAGACATTGACTGAAACAAATTAAGTTAGTGCGCTTGATTTGAGCCATATGAACCTGAGCAACAATGAGGATGCTGCCTCATTGTTCATTAAGGAAAACTTTACATAAGGTGACTGGTGGTAGCCTTCTAATAAGACCAATAGACGAAAATAGTAACAAGTCTTTAGTTTTAATGTTTAAGTGTTCCAATGAACTTCAGCTAATATTTATACCTATTACATAACTATTTAAGTTTCCATATTTGGAAGGAAAAAAAGGGAGGAAAGGGGGATGGTGTCTATAATGGAGAAATCCTAATCACATACTTTTAATACTTAACCATTTCCAAAACAAGTCAATGCCGGCCATAAATATCACTAAGTGAAAAATAAAAATGCAAAAGTAACAAAATATAAATTAAATTTAAAATATTCTAAAATTTTGGCTTATTATTAGGGCTTTTGACTTCGCTCTTATACCTATACCTTTTCTTTAATCTTTTTCATGAGCCTGAAATTTAGCTCTTCAATTGAACTTATAACTAGATTTTCTTAATCCACGTATTTTATAAATCATAAAGCAAAGTCATTTAACTTGGGAGAAAAAAAAAAACTTATGGAAAAACTGAAAAATGATTAAGGCGGAATATTTGATCACACTTTCTAAGGGTATTGTTATGAATGCACCTAAGAATTATAAAGAATGAAATATACTCTGATACAATAAAAAAAATAAAAATGTTGTTAATTTTTGAAAAGGAGTTATTAATAAAGTCAAATAAAAAAATCTAAGTAGAGCCAAATTTGATGTGACATTAACGGTTAGTCACATTAGGGAAATTTTTGGGTAAGTTGTAAGAGAATTAGATAGATCATGCATAAATAAGTAGAATCCTTAGTGAAATGAGGAGGTACAAAATGTTATTATGACAAAAAAATCTATTTTAAAGATGACAAAACTAAAAATTATTTTCACATAAAGTTATAAGAATTATTATTCGTATGGTAGGCCATGTACAAAAGAAGAAAAGAAGATAAAACTCATAAGGGTAAAGGAAGGAGATCTAAGAAGCTTTGACCAAGTAAAATCTAACAAGAGTTGAAATAAATGGCAGGGCTCAACATTTTTACATATCAGCCAAACTTAACATGCTCCATCGGATTGTAAAGCAGGTCAAAGTAATCAAGTAACTTAGGAAAAAAAAGAGCAAAAAATAGATTTCTCAAGAAATATTTGGGGAAGAGGAATTGGGTTTACTACTTGACCTGTCCCAACTTACCCAAATGTTTAATGCATAATGATAATTTAAGTTTAGTAATACTGCTTAAATTTTTTAAATTACATAACCAAAACTCATCCGCCTATCCTTATTTTATCATACTCTCCCATTTTAGTAATACTGCTTAAATTCTTTTGCCTTAACTTTGGCAACAATGGTGCACCGACACCCATTTCGTCAAACAATCTCCCAATATACCATATCTCGGTTCCCCATATTGTGGTCTTTCTCATATCTTTTGGCATCAAGCAATAACATTGCGTTGACACTCTCTATATCTTTCTGCAGTCTTTATCAAATGCTCTAGCCTCTCTCCCAATAATGGTCTTCTTACAGTAACACAGCCAAACATAGCTCACCTCAATCCTAAAAATTCACATGCACATGAGCGCTCAAACTCTTGAAGTCTTTAACTCCTTGATGATCACCGGCAAACAAACACCATTATCTCTCGTATGGTTCCAGCTTGTTTTTTATTGTTTGAATATTTTCATTTCTTTTCCAAGATTCTTATGGTTTATGATGCAAGGTAGCTGCAGCTTATTGAATAATATGCTTATAATCTGATTAACAATAATTTGTTCATAAGCTAGGTGCAGGGACTATTAAAAATTTTTATTTTTTTAGAAAAGCCAGTCCGCAGCTAGAAAGCTGTCATCGTATCTAGATAGGTGCGGTGTGAAAATGCTGTTTTCAGCATTTTGAAAATGCATAAGATACCAAAACACAGTTTACTGAAACAGACCTGGTGCGTTTTCAAAACGCCATCGCACCAAATAAGCGCCCTAAACAGGCCCTATGATTCTAATGCAGATTTTCCAAAGGGTGGATTCACTAAAATAAATGGCCAGGGAAGAGGTCATCAAGCCGGTCTCAAAGCAAACTCATTAGATGGGTTCGAGAATAATAGAGCTTGAAAGCTAGACTGCAGCTAATAAATAATTTGCAGGATCGAAACATCA